TGTGTGTGTGTGTGTGTGTGTGTGTGTGTGTGTGTGTGTGTTTGTTTTCAACAATGTGCTTTAGCAGGAGAGAACATTAACCGCATATTAAAGCCCAGAAAACTCAAAAATGTTTGAGTTCCTCAGAATTGCTAAAGGGAACCTCACAATGGGTTTGATTCTCTTTGCCACAAATATTCATACAGACTTTTTACCCTGTTTATACTTGAATCCCGATTAGACTTGTTTTTTAAGCTTTTCCTTAATTTTTTTTAAAAAATTCAATTTAATATAACTGCATTCATTCTCAAAGACTACGTTTACACTGCAGGCGAAAGCGCATCAAATCCGATTTTTGAGCCTATTATCAAAAAATCGGATTTGAGCATTAAGACCTGCAGTGTGAACGTAGCCAAAGATGCAGTTTTTTAATGCAAGACAAAGATTTGAAGCACTGAAAAGGACTTTCCTCAAATATCCTCAAGTAATTGCAAACACAACATAATCTTCCTTCACACATAATGTACTACAAGCACCACTCTCATGAAGGAGGTGCAGTTATGCAATGTCAATTTTTTCACTAAGTGTGTAAAAGCTCCGGGGAACAGGTTTCATAGTGAGGTTTCTTTAGCCTTTCTGAGAGTGAAACGCCCTGTGCTCCACAAAGCGAATAATTCAAGCCAGTCTTAAAGCCAGTGTAGCTTCTGTTTTGAACACATTTATTGATGACAATTGTACATAAATAAGCAGTGTGTTATACTGTTATCAAATGAGGAGTCTCACTAACCACTTTAATAGTGACTTGTGTCCCAAATACTGTTTATTTGTCTTAGTTACAGATAGTGAAATAAAATGGAAAATGATTGTTTCATAATTATATACTCAGCTTGGTCAAGACAATAACTCGAGAACGAGGGGCAGGATTTTGAATTGATACCACTGGTGCATCTACTAAAGTTCTGGGGTCAGTTTGAATATCAGTGACCTTGACCTCAAGTTCAAAGTTCAAGTTTTCTGAAAATCTTGTGAATGCTACAACTCTGTGACGAGAAGTCTCCTAGGTCTTTAAATTTGTATATAGGTGCATCTACTAGGAAGCTGAAGGGTTGCACTGCGGGCCATCTGTAGAGGTGTAGAGTCAACAACCTGTCTCTGAACGTGGACAAAACAAAAGAG